ATTGGTTTAGGTCCTACCCTCTGGAGCAGGAGAAAACAAGCATGCTCCATTTTCCATGTTGACAGCCTTTTAGATGTTTGAAGATGAAATATTTCGAAAACAAAGCAAGAGAATAGGAGCTTCTCAGGAATATGATGGAAACTCAGGGGTGGTAGCTCAGTTGGTCTCCAGGTTCAATCCCCAGCAGAAGTCCCTAGGTTCAGTCCCCTGCATCTCCAGGTAGACCTGGAAAAGACTCCTGGAAAGCTCACTAGAATGTGAGCCAGAACCAAGCACAAGATCGTGCTTGAATTGTAATGGCGGACATTGCTGTTTTCTCTTCGGCTGTTTCCACTTTGGCTTAAGCCAGTGCACAATGCAAAGGCTTTTAAACAGAGGTGGTTTGGGTTTCAACTGTACAGTATTTGGGATTCACGTGCATCTCTCTCCTGCTCAAACATTCATGGGGTTCCCATGATATCCAACTTCTTGCATCTGATGGCTTACTGACTAAATAAATGACAAGTACATTGTTTTTAAGATCCAGTGGATTTGCAACTAAAAGATCTGTGCCAATTGAAAAATATTATTTCCTCCTTTTCAGTCGAGAGTCCAGCATTGTGTTTGCTCTGTTGCCAGTGACCACTCAGTAGGACTTCTGAGCTTACGGGAGAAAAAGTGTATCATGTTAGCTTCCCGGCACCTCTTTCCTATTCAAGTTATAAAGTGGAGACCATCAGATGACTACCTAGTTGTGGGCTGTTCAGATGGCTCTGTGTATGTCTGGCAGATGGATACTGGTAAGAGAAACTGTGTAAGAAGGGACTTAATAATTTCAGGCGTACCCTTTAGCAATGTAGAAGGTAGCTCCATCCAATTTTAAATTTTGGAAAGGTTATTACTTGTGCATTATCCTGCCAAATAAATCTACTTCAGGAAACATGCAAAGCTGCAGTGAATTAGGGGTTATTTGGCTATGAAATACAGGATAAAAGGGGAAATGGCTGACTTGTCCCATTTTGTTGCCTTTCTGCTTTTATTGTAGAAGATAAATCGTTAGTAACTTTGGGTTACTCATTCAACTAATGAGTTCTGTCACCCAAAGCCCCTGCACAAGGGCTTCTGCTTATGCAATGGGACTTCCTTCTCTGCTCCCCAGTTTGCCCCTGTGCCCTCCAAAATTTGCTCGGAAGGAATTGTAATACAGTGGTACCTCAGGTTAAGTACTTAATTCGTTCCGGAGGTCCGTTCTTAACCTGAAACTGTTCTTAACCTGAAGCATCACTTTAGCTAAAGAGGCCTCCCGCTGCCAACGCGCTGCCAGAGCCTGATTTCTGTTCTTACCCTGAAGCAAAGTTCTTAACCTGAAGCACTATTTCTGGGTTAGCGGAGTGTGTAACCTGAAGCGTATGTAACCTGAAGGGTATGTAACCCGAGGTACCACTGTACTAACTCGAGAGTTTTGAGCAAGCACAAAATTGCCTAGAGCTCATTCTTCATAGTGTAGTTTACAAAGTATGCTGTCTTGCAAGAAAATCACGGGAAGTGCATTGCTGAACAGCTAGGCCATACTGAGCCAAAACTTCACAAGAGAAGGAAAGTTAACAACTCTAACTTTCCTTCTCTTGTGAAGTTTTGGCTCAGTACGGCCTAGCTGCTCCTGTTCCATTAACTTCAATATACCTTTCTAATGTTTTGAATGCATTTTAACTACAGCCAGTTCACCCCTCTCCCCTTTATATCTTCTTAAGGTGCTCTTGATCGCTGCGTTATGGGAATAACAGCCGTGGAGATCCTGAATGCCTGTGACGAGGCTGTGCCTGCCGCAGTCGATTCCCTCAGCCATCCCGCTGTCAACTTAAAGCAGGCCATGACTCGACGTAGCCTTGCGGCACTGAAAAACATGGCCCATCAGAAGCTCCAGACTCTTGCCACAAACCTCCTGGCCTCCGATTCAGCTGACAAAGTAAGCTTTGGTTGCGTCTTGTTAATACACATGCTAGCAAAATGCCTGCTGTCAGGACCGGTTGTGTGTGGAGGGAGGCCCTGTGTATTGCAAGGAATCCACAAGATGGTGGTCGCAAAGGACTTGGCAGCATCCCAGCCACATCCGACTCCTTTGGCTTTGGGTGAAGTGACTGAAGAGGAGACAGAATCAGCCTGGGACCATCTGGGCTTGCTGTCCTCCTTGTCCTTGGCTTGTGCTTCCTTTGCAGTAGCAGAATGTGTGGTGGCCGGCTGCCATGGCCAGACTCCTCGGCCAGCTGCAGCTCTGAGGAGGAGATTTGAAAAGTTGCCTGAGGTGGTTGTGGGGCTCTGAACATCTGCCCAGAGCTCCACCGATAACAGCATCACTGGTTGCCATTCATTTATGTGGGATGGAGTGAAGGGGCACATAGCCCTCTGTGCATGGTAGGAGTCATAAATCCCTATCTGGATGTGTGTGGAGGAATGTTTTCCGGGAACAAAGGAGGCTGCCATATACTCAGTCAGACCATTGATCCAGTGTTGCCTGCACCGTCTTTGGCTATGCTTGTGGTTAGTGGGGAGAGAGATTAACCATGAGTCCTGGGTACAGATAGCATACTTTCCCAAACTTTGGCTTAGCCCGGTGTGGCATGTGAATTCTTCTCCAGGAGCCTGCATGTTCTCACTTTTGTTTGGCTCCATCTTTTGTGCCTTGCTTTCCAAGGCTCAAGGCAGCTTCTAACAGGAAATAAACCATGAAAGCAATAAAAGAAGCAGCAAAACAAATTTTAAAAATGCAGTACGAAAAGTGTATCCAGCATCAATTGTTAACTTGACAGTTACACCAAGCACTGAAATGACTAGTAAACAGGTGATAACCGAACATTCTTGTCTGATGGATTAAAGATTTGGAGTATCCTCAAAAACTTCTACGAAGGTTTTGAGAAGTTAGAGAGTTCAGTACTCAGGTCGTGTTTTAGGGTTGCTGTATTTCGAAGAGCGAAAAAGAGGACACATTTGCCAACTTCTACTTTTAACTGTAGGTCGCTACGATGACTCAACAAATTAAAAAGAGGATGTGTCCTGGAAAAAGAGGACATATGGCAATAATGTTTCTACACTGAAACGGTTGATGCTGTAAGCATGGGCCTCTAAATTATGTACTAGGTGCTTTCAAACCCAGTCCGTCTTCCCACTACCACCCCGTGGTTAAAGTGTTTTACCTGATATATGGTGTTTTCTGTTTTTTTCTCCCTTTCTGTAATGTGAAAACTTTCAAGTATGGAAAGTGATATTCCAGCTGCATCTGCCCCTTTTGAGAAGTACCTTGTGATAGTGATTGAAGCCAGGATCTGAGAGTGAGTCCTACATATGGCTTGCAACTGTTATTGTTCCTTAGTTCACAAGGAAAACCATTGCAGAAGGAGGTCTGCATGTAGGGATCACAGCTTCATGAAAAATGCATTCCAAGTGAGCCACTAGGGATCAGCTTTGCCACTTTCCTTGCAGTGGGGGATTTGTCTTGCTACTGTGGTGTAGAAATTTCTCATCTCTTTTTTTTGGGGGGGGGGGCGGAATTGGGCAAGAGGAACTTCCCTTAATGGCTTTGGCTTTTGGCTACAGTAAAGGAGCAGTCGTAGATGGGAGTAGATGGAGGATCCTAATAGCTAGTTTTATGGGCAATTTTAAAGTGAGAAAACTGTTCATAAATATTACAAATTATATATAAATATATTTTGCTGAAAATTGACTTCATGGCACAATGTAATGCAACTCCAAAAGACAAAATCTTTACAGTGTTCAAAATAAGGATTCCTAACATGAGAGAGTAAAAATACTGAAGATGAGATTTAAAACTGGAAAGTGATTTGATACGCTGCCTTAGGCAAGCTTTTTATTAGTAAGGCAGCTTGTAGATGATATATTAAGATAAAAAAGTTACTTGTTTTAAAGTATTATAGAAAGTTTTATATACTTTAGAATGCACCAAGCAAATTCCCTGTCTCATTCCCCGCACCCCTCTACCCTTGTTTATTATCCCACATTCCACTGACCGCTGGCTGTTTATTGTAGTTCCGCCTTGAATTTCTACTATCAGATAGTGACATGGACCTTGCCTGTTAAACATTTTAATTATTATTTTTCCAAACAATAGATATTTTCCCTCCCCAAGCCAGTACCTTTTTTCGCTAAGCTGGAAATTCAAGCTGTAATGCATTCTGTGCAGGACTGCCCTTGAAAACTGTTCAGAAACTTCAAGTGGCACAGAACCTGATCTGGTTTATTCAGACGGAACCACAGTACATCAGTTCTGCCTATGACCACATTATGGTGTTGATACTTACCTTTTAAGCCTAAATGGTGTGAGGTCTAGATACCTGAAGGAGTGTCGTCTCCCATATTGATCTTCCTCAGTGTTAAGATTATCAGAGGCAACGCTTCTCCATGATTCATCTATTGACACTATGCATGTACCAAACAGAAGGCCTTCTCTGTAGTGGCACACCAACTTTGGAATGTGCAAGAGAGGCATGCTCTGCAACAACATTGCATTCCTTTCAGCGCTGGGATAAAACCTTTTGATCTGCAGAAGCACTTAAGATTACTGTGTTTTTAGTTGCTTTTATGTTTTCAGTATTGCATTGTGGGTTTTAAAATTATTACATGTATAAAAAAAGATAAAGGTAAAGGATCCCTGACAGTTAAGTCCAGTTGCAGACGACTCTGGGGTTACGGTGCTCATCTCGCTTTACTGGCCGAGGTAGCTGGCGTTTGTCTGCAGACAGGGTCTTGTGGCCAGCATGACTAAGCCGCTTCTGGTGCAACGGAACACCGAAACCAGAGCAGCGCATGGGAACACCATTTATCTTCCCGCCGGAGTGGTACCTATTTATCTACATGCAATTTGGGGTGTGCTTTCGAACTGCTAGGTTGGCAGGAGCTAGGACTGAGCAACGGGAGCTCACCCCGTCGCGGGGATTCGAACTGCCAACCTTTTGATTGGCAAGTCCAAGAGGCTCAGTGGTTTAGACCACAGCGCCACCCGCGTCCTATCATTTTTATAAAAAAGAATAAGCCATGCTTGCATTGTTATTGGGCCATTACATGTATACTGGCCCAATAACAATAAAAGCATGGCTTATCCTTTTTTTAAAAAAATGAAATCAGTGCTAGCACTTTCCTACTTGCTCTGCTAGACTAATGCAAGGTCACAGAATCCAGTGAGGGCTGGTAGAATTGCACAGAGGTCCTGTGCATTTCCCCTGATAGGTTGGATCTGAGTGCAGCATTCCTATTCTTGGTTTCTCTGTTTTCGATTTTTATTTATTTATTAATAAAAAGTTGTAGTCCTTGAGTGTTAAGAAGGTAGGCCTGATAGTTTATGCCAATATATGGGGAAATGTCATAGACACAAGGGATTAGGCTTCCCAGGGAAAGATTTTGGTGCTTTGTGTTCATAATGAACAAGTGCATGGGCATGCTACCATCCATTTATTATGTATTTGTCTTTGTTTTGATGAAGAATTTTCCTTTTCCTTTTCTCACAATGTACAATAGCCCCAGCAGTCTCCTATACCCAAATAAGAATGTATACCAATATTTAGCTACATGATGACATTTCCACAGAGATTTAAAAAGATCATAGAATCATAGAATCATAGAGTTGGAAGAGGCCACAAGGGCCATCGAGTCCAACCCCCTGCCAAGCAGGAAACACCATCAGAGCACTCCTGACATATGGTTGTCAAGCCTCTGCTTAAAGACCTCCAAAGAAGGAGACTCCACCACACTCCTTGGCAGCAAATTCCACTGTCGAACAGCTCTTACTGTCAGGAAGTTCTTCCTAATGTTTAGGTGGAATCTTCTTTCTTGTAGTTTGGATCCATTGCTCCGTGTCCGCTTCTCTGGAGCAGCAGAAAACAACCTTTCTCCCTCCTCTATGTGACATCCTTTTATATATTTGAACATGGCTATCATAGCACCCTTTAACCTCCTCTTCTCCAGGCTAAACATGCCCAGCTCCCTTAGCCGTTCCTCATAAGGCATCGTTTCCAGGCCTTTGACCATTTTGGTTGCCCTCCTCTGGACACGTTCCAGTTTGTCAGTGTCCTTCTTGAACTGTGGTGCCCAGAACTGGACACAGTACTCCAGGTGAGGTCTGACCAGAGCAGAATACAGTGGCACTATTACTTCCCTTGATCTAGATGCTATACTCCTATTGATGCAGCCCAGAATTGCATTGGCTTTTTAGCTGCCGCGTCACACTGTTGGCTCATGTCAAGTTTGTGGTCAACCAAGACTCCTAGATCCTTTTCACATGTACTGCTCTCAAGCCAGGTGTCACCCATCTTGTATTTGTGCCTCTCATTTTTTTCGCCCAAGTGCAGTACTTTACATTTCTCCCTGTTAAAATTCATCTTGTTTGTTTGTTATTAGATATCTTCTGTAGTGATACTAATTCCTACTCATATTAACTTTATCAAACAAATGGCTAAGGCTCATGATAACCTGATGTGGTGATTGCATTTTGGCACAAACATTTTAGAACTGTGTTGCCCGTATATGAAAGTATACTGAGACGTTCTGTAGTATTATTTTGAACAAAGGGTTGCCTTGCATTCTAATCAGGTTTGACAGTAGGACAGCAGAGGGCATCAGAGATCCACTTTTTGTTAAGAGTCATGTTTTCCCCCATGGATTTTATGGTTGGTATTCGTAAAATAGGGCAGTTCTGTGTTTTTGCAATCCCCCAGTTTTATATAGATTTTATCCCTGTTTAAAATCAGGGAGTCCACACATGTGAAACTGTACTAGGATTGCTACCAGGTTTGGCTAACCCGTCATATTTCCAATTGTAGCATTCCAGTTTGCTGCCTTATTCCTTGCATGTCAAAATGATTTTAATAGGGTAACAAAGTCAAATGGCAGAGAATGTGTATGTGCACTTTGCCTTTAAATGTATTAGAGCTTGTTTGCTACAGGTACAAATAATATTGTTGTATGGATGAACATTTTTAAGAGAAAAGTAGCTTCTTAAGCCATTCATGCCTTCCATCTTGCTTTAATTTCCTTCTGTACTTATGATAATTAAACTAAAGCAGTAGAACTTTAAGAAACAAATTCTCATCAATGTTTCGGATGATTGCGTCTTGCTTTGATAAGCTGACCTGTGTATGAGCCATGTGAACACACACACACAGAGTCAACTATACCCTCCCATTTTGTATGAATCAGAACTAGCTAACTGCTTTGGAACTGCTCTGAGGTCTGTTGATGAAGGGCGGTATACAAATATAATAATAAAAATAATAATTTTTTTAATAAAGAATATGAATCCAACTCCAGACTCTAGCTTCATATACTGTCTCGTTCAAAAATCGTTAATCGTAGTTTGTCAAATGTTATGCAGGCATCCCTCAAATTGCATGGGGGTTGTGTCCCGGGTCATTGTGCGCTTGTGTGAAATTGTGTGCAATTGAAACACCCCATTCTGCCTCGTGCTGCCCCTGCCCCATCCCTGCCCCCACCCTTTTAGTGACATATTTTATTATGTTTCCAAGTCACTTCTGGGTTTGGCGCTGTGTGTGTGCGCACGGTCACACACATATTGGTCTTACCTAAAACAGGAGTTGCATGTATTTCAAAAATTTCATACAAATAATTTTAAAACAATCAAAATCACCGTTTCCCAATTTTGGATGAAATGGGATGGTATAGTTGCCATTGATGGCCCACTTCATGGTAAGGTTTGCCAATGGCAATGGCAGTTCTCCTTTGCAAAGGTGAGGGAGCTATTAAGGTTGGTCACTGTGAGAACTGGTTGTTGTTGTTGTTGTTTAGTCGTGGCCTACTCTTCGTGACCCCCTGGACCAGAGCACACCAGGCACTCCTGTCTTCCACTGCCTCCTGCAGTTTGGTCAAACTCATGCTGGTAGCTTCGAGAACACTATCCAACCATCTCGTCCTCTGTCATCCTCTTCTCCTTGTGCCCTCCGTCTTTCCCAACATCAGGGTCTTTTCCAGGGAGCCTTCTCTTCTCATGAGGTGGCCAAAGTATTGGAGCCTCAGCTTCATGATCTGTCCTTCCAGTGAGCACTCAGGGCTGATTTCCTTAAGAATGGATAGGTTTGATCTTCTTGCAGTCCATGGGACTCTCAAGAGTCTCCTCCAGCACCATAATTCAAACTGGTAGTTGGGCATTTGATCTGATCCAACAAGGCTTTCTTATGGTATATTCATAGAATCACAGAATTGTAGAGTTGGGAGGGACCCCGTAAGTCATCTAGTCCAACCCTCTGCAATGCAGGAACCTTGGCTAAAGCATCCATGACAGACGGCCATCCAAGCTCTGCTTGAAAACCTCCAAGGAAGGGGAGTCCATAACCTCCCGAGGGAATACGTTCCACTGTCAAGCAGCTTTTATTAAACTCTCACTGTCATTTTATCCAATTAAATCTTATCTAATTAAACTTCTCTTAAGAAACAGAAACTGGTGGCTGGATCTGGTGCGTAAACTTGTCATTGCTGCATGTAAAATAAACAAAAACGAAAATAGATGTGATGAGACGCTCAACGGCTTGTTACAAGCTCTTTGTGTAGTTTGCAGAGAAGAGCGATATAGCTGACAAACACCCCTTTGCCTCTGCGGCGAGTTCCCAGAAGTCCCTTCACTGCGAGGAGGTGAAAGGGGAAATTGACAAGAGGGTTGAAGCCTCTTGTCAGTTTCACCTCTACAGCCTTGAGCTTCCAAGATTGTCAGTTTCACTGCTGCTCTTTGAAATCTTTCTGGCAGGTTCTGTGGAAATCTTGCTGGAGTTCAGAGAATTACCTGCAAAGGCTGCAAACCAAAGTGGTGAAACTGATGAGCTTTCTCCATCACCACTATCGCCAGAGAGGCTCCTTTATTATAGGGGGTTTCAATTCCCCCCCCCCCCTTCTGTAGAAGTTTTGCCTTTTGTCAATTTCACCATTACTGTGAAGAGTCTTCAGCAGGCTCCCTGCGGAGGTGTGTGTGTAAGGGGGACTTGTCACTTTCACAGCTGCACTTTTCAGCCTTTTGCGTGAGGAATAGATAACATGCAGTGAGTGGTGAACTTGCCAGGGCAGGTGGATGCATGCATGAACAGTTAAGCTTGTGTGGAGGGGGAAACACCCACTGTTCGGGATGGAGGAGGAACGCACACATGCAGATAAATTGTTAGAAAACAGGAACTGGCCGTGCAATGTGCAGCTGAGGTCAGGAGCAGAGCATTGGGTTTCTTGTTAAACGGCTTAGAGGTTTTGCTAAAATCACGCAGTACAGTGGTACCTTGGTTCTCAAACGCCTTGGTACTCAAACAACTTGGAACCCAAACACTGCAAACCTGCTTTGAGTGTTATGCTTGCGATTTGAGTGTTACGTTGAGGTCTGCTTGTTTTTGCTATTTATTTTGCGTTTTTGTAGCTCTTTTTATTTTGTTTTTGTGACTGTGTGGAACCCAGTTCAGGTACTGGGTGACTGCAGTACATTGTTTATTGCTTTCATTTAATGGATCAATGGTCTCATTAGATGGTAAAATTCATGTTAAATTGCTGTTTTAGGGGTTGTTTTAAAAGTCTGGAATGGATTAATCCATTTTGCATTACTTTCTGTGGGAAAGCGCTCCTTGGTTTTGGAACACTTTGGTTTTGGAATGGACTTCCAGAAAGAATTAAGTTTGAGAACCAAGGTACCACTGTATATAAATTTTGTTAAGTATATATGTATAAATAAATAAATAAATGCGTAGAATGGAAGCAAAGAGGCTCTACAATGCAGACTGGAGAAACACAGCTTTGTGAAAATTCTAGGGGCTGGTTCGGGAACAGATACTTCCAACAACTGCTGAAGTTGAAGCTTTAAATACTGTCAAGCTCTACACTTTCCTACCCTGCTTGCATTTTAAACGTGGCCCCTTGGCTACAATCTATCAGCTGCCTATGAGGCAGGGCTTGAGAAGGGCAGGAACAGAGAGGATTTTCAAGGCTCCATCATAACCTTGACAGAGACCATCACAACATTTCTGTACAGGATACATTGAAATTCATCAAACAAAATATAGCTAGGAGAATCTGATGATGCATTGTGTTCTTCTCCCCGCTCCAACCTACCACTGGAGACCAACTTGGTTTCCCATACAGTG